GCTAAAACCTGCTGAAGCAACAACAACCGATTGATCCTAAAAGGAAAAGTACAGACCCTGTACCCACATGAGAAATAAAAAAACAAAATCAGGCAACATTTTCAGACTGTAGACGCCGCCTTTAGCAGACGCCTTCCCTGAAGACGACGTATTGTTGAACTACAGCAAAAACAATCAGCCCTGCTACAAGCCGAGTCAGCGAATACAGTCTTTGAGGAGACAAAGCGCACACACACCCACACACACACAAAGTAACATGCTCGCTTGAGGCTTGATCCATACCCTTATTGTTTCAGCTCGTAATCACATTTACCTGCTGTTGAAACCAAGAGCAGGGACTGTCGGTGATATACATTAAGCCTCAGTGAAGATACAAGGTAACGGGATATCAAACTGAACTAAATAATGTGCTTAAATACTGTATTATTGGCCCGTGCAGTGCAACATTGACAGGCTGTTAATTAGGAAGTGTGTTCTCTCACCTCAGAGGTGCAGGTGAGTCTGCGTGGGTGAGGTGCCTCCTGCTGGAGCTGGTACACTGTGGCAGAAAACACACAGCGAATCATCAGCAACAAGCAAGTTACAACCATAAAAAAACACTCAGTATCAGAATTATAATCACATAATAATTTTAATAATATCTATAAATACTCACAGTAAGATTTCCACACTGGTGGCCTGTATTCATCATGATCTGAGGACAGAAAAAGTACAACAGTGTCTTAAAACGGCCTCAAAGTCCCTTAATTGACTTTGCTATGGCGCCGCCTAGTGGGCAAAACATGACACTTATCAGAGCTGTTTTAATTTGAAGATGTACCACCATCCAGATAAGATCAGGATTCTCTTATTTCATCTTCTTTCTTACTTTAAATCAGTGAAATAGCAGAATATCTATTTGAGAATGCAGGGGGAGATTAATGTAAAAATCAAAACAAGACATTTTACGTGCAATCAATCATACTCAAATGCTGGGAAACTGGGATTTTTGATTTTCACAGCTAAACACTGAAAGTGCTGAAGGACATTTTGCAGTTTTATTAATCTTAGTGCCTAAAAAAACAAGCAAGCAGCTAAACTGACGGCATGACATATGAAGTCAAGGCTTTCAGCTGCTTTGTTTCCTGTAGTTTCTGTGCCATTACATTTGGATATCAGACTGATGGATGATGTATTTGTCCACAACAGAAAGTATAACTGTGACTCAATAAATCTAAATCTGCGAAGCATAAAAATCTGCAAACGATTAATTTATATTGCTTTGCAGACATGTAATATAAATGAGCTCTCACTGTGATTTTAATCTTTCTTACAATTAAGCACTGAGGGGGCCTGAGGCGGTGACAAGCTTTTGCCGCCACCCCCTCAGGCCTACACGTCAGAAATTAATTGTAGATGGTATCAGCACTAGAGCAGCATTTCCTCGTTGCTTGTTCGGCTGTTGCAGACCATAAACAACGCTGACATTAATATTAGAGCGCGGCTCCATGCAACGTCAGTCGCAGAGAAGAACAGAATCACTTTCAGCCCCCGAGCTCTCTGCTGGAGTTTGGCTGAACTCTGTGACTGCTGTAAAATCCTCTCCGGTTCAAACTCTGTGCAGTGTACATTCATTCAGTGACTCATTGTGGCTCGTATAGAGTGAAGCAATAGCCGTGGCATAGGTCTCCATTTGCAACTAATCCTGGAATCAGCCAAAGAGAATACTTTTGTTTCAGAACTAAACTTGTTCCACGGTTACATTTAAAAATCAGTAGGAAATATACCCATTTTTGATTATGTAAATGAATATGTATCTTAAGACTCCGCTGTCCTTTGACCAGCATCTTGCAAATTCAGGCATATGCCGTCTTCCATCTTCTCTGCATGGGTAAAACTAACAGCCGGTTTCCTGTCTCTGTGCACTGTGTGTTCTCTCCACAAGCCTTATCTATTCAACACTTGTCGTCCCGGTATCCTGTCTTCAAAATAACTCAAAATCCTCCCCGGGCAAGTGTCTCACACTCTTTCTCAAGGCAACGGACCCCCACAATCACAAGAAACCAGACATAACATATCAACTGCTGACAAGTCAAAGTGTCTGCAACAGTGGGTGGAAAAAAATTCAAATCCAGTGCTTTTGCCGAAGTACTGGAAGGACAATTGTGATGCACTTTTTTTATGAGAGTTTATTCTGTGGGGTTTTTTTTTTTTAGCCAGCACACTTTTTCTGAAAGCTACAATTTCTAGTTACTTCACAGATTACGGTTTAATATGAAAGCTTACCAAAATAAGACGCCATAGTATCATTCAAAAAGAAATTAAGACCAATGTTAGACTTAGCAGCATCTAGACTACATGCAACTATACATACTTAGGTATTATAATACTACATACTGCTTACTACTTACTTGTTAAACGATCAATCACTGAACACTCACAAGGAGATCTTGTACTTATAAATTAAATTAAATTAAAATACAGCAATATCAAAAAGCTCTGTTAAAAGCAAAAGTTCTGCATTCAAAATGTTGCCCAAGTTAAAGTACATTATAATTTAACTGTACTTTAAGTATCAAAATAAAAGTATTCATTATGGAGCAGAAGATGTTCATATTGTTATATATTATCTAATTAATTATTACTGCTGATTCATTACAGGGTAAACAGCCCTTTAATGTTGTAACAGGTCAATGCAAAGCTGATTTAATTAAGTTATACACTGTTGGATAGTTTAATCTATAGAAATGCATCACAAACAAGACCAGTGACTATAATTATCAAATAAATGCACAAAATGTAAAGTATAAAAGTGTTTCATAATCGTATTTAAATAAACTGACTCATGCTTATGCTCAGTTTCTAGTGTCCTCTCCCAGTTTGACCAAAATACATTAAATAAACATATTTATAGTAAAATTATGTTAAACAACATTGGTCAATAAACTACACACCATTAATTCACTCTTACAGGAGCACAAAGGCCCAAATCTGAGGCGTGGGGCTGCTTACCAAACACATTTAGGGCCATCTTGATTCTGTGATGTGATGAAGATTAGGAAGATGATGAACAATTTAAACCAGCAACACCGACCCCACTTAGTTTGAATCCTGAAAGGCGACAACAAACAAACAAACAAACAAACAAACAAGAAGGAGAAGAGGTAGATTAAAAGGTGAAAGAAGCATTTAGACAGCAGAGTGTGGGGAGCGGGAAAACAGCTGAGTAACGACAAACAATGAATGATGAAGCTCAGGTTAGAAGAGAGGAAGAGGAAGAGAGAGAGAGAGAGAGAGAGCTAACGTTAGAGATACTTTAGTTGCTGGGCTCCACCGAGGATCGTACGGTTGTTGTTGTTGTTGTTGTTGTTGTTTTTACACTACGTGGAAAAGAAGACATTTGTTTCGCTGTGTGAATAAAACGCGCCGACGGCAGACGGATTACACACACCGGTTTATTAATCTAACGGTTCGCTAATAATACTCACATTCACATCCATTCTACTTTGTGGTCGCCATCTTGCTGGGTCATGTGAGCCGTCTCCCCCCTCTCTCTCTCTCTCTCCCCCTCTCTCTCTCTCTCTCTCTTTCTCTCCGGGGTAACTATGGCAACGTACTTCGCTGATGCTACTTCGTGGCAAGAGAGACGTCGTCAGTCCCGATTTAAAATGTGTTTCATACTAACTTGTGTTATATTGTGTGATCTGAACTGTTGTAACAGGCGGTGTAAGTAAACGTTTTGGTTTTTCAAAAGAAAACTCGCGTTAACCAACACGTATGATACAACAGGTATGAAAATAAACGTGTTTTGCGTAGGTCCTCATGGCCGGTTAGCTCAGTTGGTTAGAGCGTGGTGCTAATAACGCCAAGGTCGCGGGTTCGATCCCCGTACGGGCCAATTACCTTTTTTTTTTTTTTTTTTACACAAGCTCACTCTGGCCGATTAAAAGCGTGAATGAGGTGAATGAATTAAATAAAAAGTGAATGAGGAAGTACTGCTTCTTTCCTGGGTACAACAGCAGTTTCAAGACGAGGTAATATAGTATAATTTGAAAATACACTGTAATTTACTACTACACAATTTGGAACAATTCCCTTTAAATTAGCATGCCAATACCAATTTCCACAAATCAATCACATCTGTATATACAATATAAAACATATAACGCCAATTCTATTTTTATTTAATGTGTATTTTGTATATATCTGTTGTATCTGGAGCTGCTGTAGCAGTGAATTTCCCCAGTGTGGGATCAATAAAGTCTATCCTATCATATTTTATTCAATGGATGCACAACAGCTGATTCTAAAAAGCACTCAAAATTCAGAAGAATCCCCCCTGTAAGTGTGTACTTTTCTTATATCATGGTTTAATTTATTATATTGGTTTATTACCACTGATGGATTTGTTGCTGTATAAACACCATTGATCCCACACTGGGGAAATTCACTTGTTATGGCAGCTCCAGATAAAACACAGCAGATAAAGGGGGAAAAAAATGCACATTAGATAACAAAATAAAATTGAAAAATACAAAATATGAAGAAAGAAATAGAATTAGGGTTGTATGTATACTATACAGTTTTTTTTATACAAATGTGATTTAAGTTCAAATAGAAAATTGCACAGGTTACAGAAGGTTAAATATATATACAGCAGTAATTTAGCAGAAGAATATAGGCTAGGCAGGGCTATGCATATACAGTGCAGGTCTAATAATAATGTGCACGTAAGAAATTATCTTTATAGGCTATATGAGTATGTAAGAACTATACAGTACAGTAATATCTAATCTAATCCACAGATACCTCAAGGATATTACATTCCCAATCATAACCAGCCCAAAATTTGAAAAGAAACCCTCTTTTACTTCATTACTAAAACAGTATTTATCACCAATTAACCACATTTTAGTACAAATTCCCTTCATCCCGGGAGGTGGCGCTGTGTACCCGCCCTGGTGGCACTTTCTCTCCCCCGTCCTGACACTGTAGTGCCGGGTGCCCGTGCTGGAGGCGGTGTGTTTCTCTTTATTGTTCCAGTGGAAAAGCCCAGTGCACGGTTTCCCCACATTTGTCTCAATGGCTACCGCACAGAAACCACGTCCCACCTGAGAGGGAGCGGTTCGACGGAGACTTTCCTATTGAACAACTCAACCGCAGCGCACTGTGCGGGATTTACCACCGATTGGAAATTAAAAAAAAAAAAAAAGCTCTTTACAGACGGACAATCTGTGGATCCTGAAGAAAGACGGGGGTAAGGGAAATCATGCTATCCGGATTATGAACCGAGGTTACACGTAACCTCTCTGGTATTCCTTATGTGGTGCACACTCAGGTTTAGATTTAGTCATATTCATTGCATTGTATGTTTCCCCCGCAGTTTAAAGCTCCTTAAGGCAACAGTGCGTGATGTTTGATGAGCCCGATATCTTAAGCTCGCTTCCACTGCAAACCAGCCTGTTCATTTTCCTAATCGGCTGAGCTTTAGGAGGTCCAGCAGAGCTTCTTTTACTGTAAGCTTAATGATAGACAAGGATAGCCCTCCTCTCCTGTTAGTGCTTCAAACATTTACCACAAAGTTAATATTTAGTGGGTTTTAAACTGGTTTATACTTTGTTGGGGGGTGGGGGGTGTTTAGTTTCTATTTAGTGGATTTTCCCAGCTGCCTTTTCCATTCAGACCTTACAATAGGCTCAAACTTGTCATTGTCACCACATTCACATTAATACTGAGCACACATATATACACACACACACACACACACACACACACACCATTCCTGTCTCTTGAGTGCCATCAGGTTGCCTTAGCCTACTGACATCCGTACCCTGGCCTAAAGGATTACTCTGCTAACCTACATCCATGAGGCTTGCACTCTGCCAACTGTACTCTTGGTGCCTTTTGTACCGTCTGTTTCATATCACTTGACAAAGCTGCTGTGTGCGTGCATGCTCCTTGGCATTGTCACCCAACGTCTGGAGAACGTGGCAACTGCAAGGTGACAACATCAGCTGACAAATAAATCCCTATCCTTTTATCGATCTGCTCTTTTTGTACCCCTTCCTCCCCCTTTTCTGGGTGAGGTCAGAGCATAGGGTCAGTGGGGAAGCAGCAGCGCCCACGATCAGCTTTGTCTTGCTCATAGGCACTTCATTTTGCTAATGGTTGGGGGAGCACGAGTGCCCTGTTGCCCATTCACTTCTGTAGCAATATCACACCCACAGCACCAGGAGAATTGGTGTTACACTCTCTTTCTTTACGACCTCACAATAGACAGTCTCCTGAGGGCAGTAGAGCAGCTTAATGGCTCGGCGGGCGGAGAGTGTCACCTTGATAAAACGTTGTACCAAAGCGCAGCCATTGATCTGCCAAGACCCGCTGGTGTAGGCCTGCTGTGTTGTGGCCTTGATCTGGCCCTCACCTTTGCTCGTCAGGTTGCAGTTGACGCCTCTGGGTGTCATTGGTCATCAATAGCTGTTTATTCAATGAGATGGATGTAGTCCCTTTATGGTCTTTAGCTAGTCCTTCATTTGTTCTTGTAGATTTATTCTTATTCTAGGACAACGTACCGTATGTGGTAAATATTTTAAATGCAAAGTTCACTTGCTTAGCTATTCCTGGAGCTTTTGATCATATTCTCCACAGAGTTCCTCGGTGAATGCAACACGCTCAGATGTCATCACGTTACAGGACCTCCTTCAAGTGATAACGGATGGTCCAGGAATAGATAAATAAGCTGACCTTATTTATACCGCGTAAATCACCGGTTCCAGCGTGTCAACTGTGAATTTCAGCTGCTTTCTTCCTTCTTTTTAAAACGATTTTACTATTAGTAAGCTGAATATGAATACATTACATTAGGCGTTGAGGCATTTGGAACTATTTTCTGACATTTCATGGACTAAATGATTGATGGAGACTACATATAAGTAGATAAAATACGGCACAAAATAAGTGACATGTAGTGAATTTCCAGTAGGAACACTGTTACAAACTTCACTTATTTAGCTTAGCAGTGTAGCTATGAAAACCCCTCACTGTACGCCACATCCCTTTTTAGATAGTTTCAGCTTTTTATCTGTGAGATCCTCTTTTATAGCTCAGGTTTCCTGTTTTTTTTGGGTCACTTAATCGTTTGTGCTCGGATGATTTAGTTTCTTTATCTTGTGTTCTTTGTAAACCTGCTTATCAAAGTGTTGATTTGTTAGACCTGTTTTTTTTTTATAGCTGGCAAATGTCGCCTGTTATGCAACCTGCATGTGAATATTCTAACCCAGATTATGTAATGCTGTATTTCCATTGCAACGTATGTGCCACCTTGGTTTATTTGAAAAATAGTCAAAATTACTTACTAAGAAAAGGATTAAGACCAGATTTGTGACCTCTTAATGCCTCTGTCACATAAAGCCTTCTCTGTAGATGCACACACACACACACACACACACACACACACACACACACACACACACACACACACCTCACATCCGATTCCCAGAGCCTGGCTTCCCTCTCACAAACTCTTGGGAAACTTTCAGCTAACGCCAGTTCAAAGGCTGCTTGAGAGGCCTGGGTCCCTCCGAGTTAAAGCCCTGCTGCTGGAAGCTCCCACAGTGGCTTCCTTTGTGCCCGTGTGACCAGCTCGCTCTGTATTCCTCTCTTGCTCAACTAACTCTGTGCATAATCCCCCCCCCCCCTTTCAGCCCCTACTGAGGAGGTGATGAACCTTCTGCCTCCAAATTTCCACCCTTTAGTTGTGAAATTGATCCAAAATGGAGGATAACACTAAATTAACAAGTAGTGTGTTATTCTCATTACAGAAAACTTACCGAAAGAGGAGCCATTGTCAGAGCAAGAATGAGCGTTCTGCCCTAAAGTGCTCTCTTATATAGTTGCTGTTGTGTGTTTGTGGTTTAAAAACACTCTTTAAAAGCCTGAAGTTTAACCTGTTGATGAGTTTGTGTTGAGAGACTGAAGACGCGCAGGCAACAGGCCAACTCTGCAGAATATGACCTAGTGCTGTTTGTTGGTGTAATTGGCACCTGCTTGTTAGTGAATGATTAGGTAGAGGTTTAAAACTGGCTCTGAGTTGTTTTTCTTTGAAGGGTGACGCTTGAAGAGAAGTAGGCGGCCCTAAAAAACCGATTATTCAAGCACCTCTTTGTCAGGCAGCACTCTTGAATTTGAAATATTTAATATTCATTAAAAGTTGCTTTGTTATTTAACTGTCAGACAGATACTCTCCAAAAAACGTGCCGAGACCGAGCTACTGATGAACAACCGAGCAGAGCGTTTGTTTCAGCGTGACGTGGAAGTAGCACAAAAGAACAAGCAAACGTTCCCACAGGTGTAATGAGTAACTTGAATGTCAGGTCCCTTTTATTGTCAGGTCACTTCCTTGGCCGGGCTCCAGGCTCCAGTTTCAGCTTTTGTCACTGAGGTGAAGAGAGGTACCTGTTTGTGTGTGCAGGTGAGAGGGATTAGTAAATCTCGCCTTGGAAATAAAATATGAGATTAGGTGTGAAAGAACAAAGTGGAGAGCCTTCTTTAGAGTGTATATGCACACATTTAACTGCATATGTTTTTTGTTTGTTTACATAAGGAGTATGCTGTATATATTTGTGGTAACTGATGCAGGAAGAAGTCCACTTTCACACTGAGGTCAGAGGTCAGCCATTGAGCAGCTCCCCTGGAGCTTGCACGCATTCACAGGCTGTGTCCCATTTCCGGGGCCTCTTCCTTTGGACTGTCTGGCCTTCAGAGGACTCTGGAGTCTCTGCAGTAGAACTGCAAGTAATTATTTTCATCATCAATTAATCTGCTGGTTACTTTCTCAATGAGTCCATTGTCCAATAAAATGTCAGACGTCTTGAAGTTGTTTTTTTTTGTGTGGCCAACAGTCCAAATCCACAAAGAGAGAGACAGTACAGAGAAAAACCCTCACATTGGAGTAGCTGTAACCAGTAAATGGTTGATGGTTGAAAAAAATGACTTAATCGATTACCACAATAGTTGCCGATTCATGCGTTTGATTAAATGTTTCAGCTCTGCTACGTATCGTAGGATGAACCTGCGCTCTCTCCTTCACCATAGTGTCGTTGCGCTTCCCCTCTTAGCCTCACAGAGAAACGTGACCGGCACTCAGTGGGTTTTTAGGATAGTCTGCAAAAGACCGCAAATTATACACCAGTTTTGTTCCAGATTTGGGCAAGAGAAAACTGTGTTTCTCAGGCACATTTTGGAGGAGATGTTGGAATCAGACAGCCCCTCCAACCCACTGACATACTCTATTTGTTCTTGAAATATGGACCTGACATTGGACATGGTGAATGCCTTGCTGCAGGGTGGATCTGTGCCGTCATGGAGAGTTTGATGCCGGTCAGCCCTGCTCGCTGCACCACCAATGTGTGCCCAAATATTTAGAATTGCTTGTTTATGTGTTATCAGTATTGCTCTATTTTTTTCCCCACCAAGAATGTTTTCTGAAATGAGGATGTGTGCTGCTTGGGGGGGGAAAGGCAGAGGATTTTAACCTGTGACTACAAAAAAAGATCTAACAACCTGTTAATCAACATGATGGTCCCAATAGGTCCCTAATGACGTATTGATTTAGCATTGATGCAGTGACTCTGGGCGGTACCGAATGTGACTGAACTGAAGATGTAACAGCAGTTTCACAGATTTTATGTGATCTTTATTGTCCCGTACACTACTCATGCATTTACACACACATGTAAAACGCTGTGTTTGTGTGTCGGACCAGTCCCCCCCCCCGACTGTCTTCTGAAACATTCCTCAGCCGTGATGTCACCAACCGTCTGAGAGCATATTTATTGTCTGAGGTTGAGGTTTATCAAGGGTGAGATGGCGGTGGGGGCGCTGAAAAGTTTGTGTGTGTGTGTGTTTTGAGTCTGAAAGAAGAGAGGTGGGGGTGAGTGTCTTTGTGTGTTCTCAGACCGTATCTCATCTGCCCCACTTGTGAAGCTTTTGATTCAAGTCTGAACTGGTCTTAAACTGAGCTCTGTGTTTGGTTTGTAGGAAACGCAGTAAATCCCACCTGCATGTGCTTGTAGCTGGAATAAGTGTGTGTGTGTCTAGCAAGGTGTGAGACATGTCTGTCTGCTTCTATGTGCATTGGCCAAACTCTTAAGTTCAGCTGTCATACTGTACGAGGTCGTTCTAGTCTGTGGTTTATACCCTCGTTTCATCATCCTGACCAATAAAAATAAAAAAAGAATCACCACAGAAGAACTCACTGACTAAATGTCTGGTGGTTTTTACATTGTGAACGGGCAATTTAAGCTAGACTGAATAAATGTGGCCAGATTTCTCGCACATTTCTTGAGCTAATTAAGTTTCCCTCCAAGCAAAGTTTTACTACATAATAGAACCTCTTATTCGCTTTTTAAATACGAGACAAATGTTGTATTTTTTCTCCACAAGATGAAATGCAGTTTATCCAAGAAAGCAACTTTTAACCTTCATGTTCTCAGGGAAGGTTGATGGGAGCTGTTTTTCCTCACAATGCTCATGTATTTTTTCATCTATCAAATCCAAAACGCATTTCCTATAAAAAGAATACAGAAATACCTTGCAAGGACCTTGTGTTTATACATTTACCAACGCACAGGATGTGATGTAACTGCTCTTTAGGACGAGGGCCTATGAAGAGGCTTGGATGTTAGAGGAAATGCCTGACCGTTCTGGCTTACAACTGCCTACTATGTGTTTAAGAAGCCAAAAATACAGAAAATCACAGTCTGAACAGATTGTTGCAACTCCAACTTTATTTAAAACTATTCTCTTCTTTGTCCTCCAGACGTGAACAGAGGTGCCTGCAGCTCGAGAGCCCCTTACTGTAGCGTCCGTCACCATGGTCGAACCAGCCGACAGGCCGTCTGCAGCCGGACAGAGGTTGGGCGCCCCTGAAAGCTTTGGGGTGTCCACCCTGGAGCCAGGCCTGCGTGCTCCTGCCCAGCCTCCAGGGAGACAAGTCTCCATTAGGGTTCAGATGCTTGATGACACACAGGAAGTCTTCCAGATATCGGTGAGTAATATGTGCATCATATACCGTAGTATAACTGCTCCTTGAGAGTTCACTAAATACGCGCCTGTGTTTCTCATTGGTTATGATCTTTTTTGTGAACTCTTCACAATTAGGGTGTTACTCTTGAATCTTTATGTGTTCTTTATGTTTTCATCCATGTTATTTATTGGTTATGTGGCTTGTTGGAGGGCTAAAGTTGCTGTCAGTTACACCAAAAACCTCACAGATTTCACTGGGTAGCTGTAGTACTGGTTATCCTTGAAAAGAAAATGTGCAATAAATCCTTATTTGAAACTAATCAGAGGCTTAGAGTGGCACAGTGTTTGGCCTGAGACTGAAAGATACTTTTTGAGAATGTTTATTACTTTATAAACAAGCCAAGTTTTGCTTAAACCTGTTTGATAAGTCCAGATCATTAATATGGGACTTAAGTTTTGGCAACATATAAAGGAAGCATGTGTCAGTCCGTCTATCATCTCATGTATTCATCAACCTCCTGTCACACCCCCACATTAATGACTGATGGAAAAAGGCGCACTAAAAGAGAGACGCAGCTTATCAATGGGGACATTCAAATACTTTTCCCTCAGTCTTTATGTAATCCATCTCTAGTTGTGGAGGAGGAAGAGGATGTTTCAATATGTCCATTTACCTTAAGTCTTATCTCATATCTCCACTTCCTGGAGATCCACAGGAAATGGAATAGCAGCCAGCATCCTGTCTAAACACACCAAACCTACAGACCCCTTGATCCCGCCTCATAGACAGAAACACACACCGCAGCCTTTACAATCCTTCTCTGTCTTCATCTCAGTTTTTCTCTCAATATATCGCAGGCTCTGCTCATATATAAGTGAGTCTGAGGCGCGCCTTAGTGCACAGAAGCTCTCGGCTTCCTAATGCTGTTTAGTGAAAGGGGTCCTCTGAGAGGCTGCATAGGCAGCAGCTTTAATGACATCAATGCTGCGGTGCTTTGGTATGTCATCTGCGGGTGGGAGTGGTCTTGAATTACTGAATTTAATGTCTGCCGCAAGCTGACAGAGAGTTTGCTTTCATGCCCTCCTCTGCAATTTGCACGCCTTTTAGAAAACCCAGCCCGCTGCTTTATGAGCTTAGAATTTGGGGAGTTTTTGTGATGATAATTGAGAAAGATTCCAGCGAGTCACCGTCTCAGCTGGCTTGTAGAACATCCAGAGCTGCCAGTTCGAGGAGCCGTAATTGGCTCCTGTGAAAATGCCAAGAATGTATGTGGTTGTTAGTGCCTGAGGATGTGTGAGTGGACAGCTTGACAGAGGGTTAGGATCTGTGTGAAGGATGTCATCTGCATGTGTGTTTTTAGCATTTTTCAAAATCCTAAATTGATGTCTTCTCAAATTGATATAAGAGCTCAGAGGTTGTGGTTCTCCACAAAGCAGCAGCAGCAGCAGCAGGCCTCCTTATGACAGGGAAGTCTTCTCCCCTATCTTTACTGTCCTCTGCCTTTCACACACACACAAATTACATGCCCTATCTCTCTGGAACATCTTTAGACGTCACTGCTCAGACCACAGAAAAGCAGAATGCATCAGCTGACAACAGCAGCATGACCAAAAATACTAATACTGCCCTCAGACACACACTCTCACACATTATTGTTTAGGTTGAGATTGTTTGTTTGCTGTCACAAGAGCGAAATGTGAACCCTGCGCCTGGGAAGACTGGGAATAATAATGAAGTGGAGGTGAAAGGAAAAAAAGGGAAAGTTGAGGAACACTGCTCAAGTGAAAAAGAAGTGAGGAGAAAGTCATGGAAACCAACTAAATTAATGACTTGTAATGTTTTCAACGCTTATCAAAGATGCAGTGAAATAAGGGATGCATTGTCTTTTTAGTTTGACTCTCCTAATCTGTCTTTTTCCTGTTACAATGCCTTCCAGTGTATTTGTGCAGTAGGTGTAGTCTAACGTGTGAATCAAGAGATAAGCCTGCAGCTTACACTAATGTTGGCACCGGATTGGGCATTTTCTCACTACAGGGAGGTAAAGTGGAAGGCTTGCTCATTAACGGAGCCTGTTATCTTAAAAGCTCAGCCAGGGTGGTTGCAGAATGGGACTCTTCATACTGTGGCACTGTTGTAATGCTGACCATGGTGAATGTTAACCTTTTTTTATTGCATGTTTAGTTTAGTTAAAGTGACTTTAAACCCACTGCCTTCTTACTTTGTGCACATAAGGCATCACGATTCACTCTTACATGTGCTTTTCTTACATCATAAGTAGCATTAAATGTGAAGTTTGTGTTATTCAGTGATATTTCAGCAAGGCAGATAGGGATGCACCAACTCGGTTTTTTCCCTTCTGATAACAATACCTGAACTCAGGCTATCAGCTGAGGCCAAGTACTGACTATTCCACATGTGCATGGCTACATCTTTTTTCTTCTATACTTGTGTTACATGAATCATCTGGAGTGTTTTTCATTTACAAAAGCTGGTAAAAGTTTGTCTTTTTAAGTGTGTAAGCTGCTCTCCTTCATCCATTTTTATATACTATATATAATAAAACAGGTAGTGATAAGTATCAACAGTATCGTTATGCATTGATGTTAGCTCATGGCAGCAAAGGAGCAGAGCAGAACAGAGTCTTTGATGGTGATCGGTTACGTACCCGATCCACTTAATAAAGTCAGTATTGGGCCAATGCATGCATACTCAGGGCACATGGCTGTTTACACTGGTTAGTTTGAGATCACGATGCCACCAGTAGGCTTCTGCTGTACATCAGGAAGTACAGGCTCCTTATTTCAATTAGGTTTTTACAGAGAATAAAGCTTTGCCTTCAGGGCTATTACATACACAACATGGGTCAGTGAATTCAGCTTTAATAATTGATAATTGGATACATTCAAGTGCATTAACAGAAAAAAACATTCAAAGCGTTCTGGTGCAGCATGCGCTTCAATAAAGTAACATCTCTTGGACCCAGGTGGTTGACACCGAGGGCTCCGGCTTTCATCCTCAAAATTCTTTGTTATGATATATCTGGTGTTTATAAAATCAGCTGTATCCTCGGGCTTTCAGTTGGGAATGTGGCCTCCTCTCAGCACTGTGAACTAACAATGTTAGCCAGATTCTCACGAGGGAGTAACGTGGAATCCATTAGATAAAAAGGAGATCCCACAGAGTTTTAGCTGGACTCTGAATGGAGCCTGAATACAATTTTTAAATCTAATGCAGCTTTTCTCCAACTTGCAATGGCAGGAAAAATCGGCTATTCAGCTCCTGCCTATAGCACATAGTGAATTTGTTCATTGATAGTTAATATTTTTAATTATTTATCATTATTTTCTTTTTCTCTCTGAGCTGAACCTGAGAAACAATTACATTGCTTGAGTAAACATTACATTAATAAAACATTGGCACACACTGCATTAGTGACCACTCTGGCTCCACACTGACATACACACACACACACACTTCAGGGCTTCATTATTAATGTGGAATGGAAACAGCATGATAGAGGAGTGTGTGAGTGCAGAACATCGTCACTCACTCCCACCTTGTAAATAATTGAAGATAGTGTGTGTGTGTGTGTGTGTGTGTGTGTGTGTGTGTGTGTGTGTGTGTTGCATGGGGAACAATGGATGGTTGTATGTATGTGTGTTACTCATAAGCTTTCAGTTGGTTTCACCTGTTCTGCCGTAATTCAGTATTTGTGAAACCATTAACTGAGCCTTTTTGTGGATTTGAATGCAACTGCTTTTGCTTTTAGCTGTGCAGTGGCTATGCACGACAAACCTCAGACACACGATATTCCTCCTCTTTCTCCCAACACACAACTTCAAACATTTGTTTTAACAGTTTTAATCCGTTTAAGCTGCGGTGTTGTTTACTTGTATGACAGAGAGAAACTTTGTTGTGTGATTTGCCCTCACAAGTAAAGCTTCCTGCCCCAGATTCCCTCAGTTCATCCTGAGGTCACAGCATCAGTGATTGAGGGAAAGGAAACCATTTTGTCACTCACACCTGTCTCTGGTGTTCTGATTCTGCAGTCCTGTATACTGTGTTTACATTGGTGGATGCATGCCTTCATCATGGGGACTGCTGTGAATTTTGAGTCGCACGTGCACCGTCCTGCTGCTGTAAATACTCAGCCGAGCACCAAATGTGTATTAATCCACAGCAGAAAATAGCCCCCAACAATTACAGTAATCTTGCTTGAGTAATGATTTCTAAAAGCTACAGTGCCCAGAGTGAATGGGTGAGTGGACCAGAACAAAATAAACCTGACAGAGAGACTGAGACCAGGAAGGAAGAGCAAAACAGTGGGACAGAAATTACATGTTTTGTTTTAGGTCAAAACAGCAGGGATATTAAAAAAGAAAAAGCTATGTTTTTAACATGCCTGTCTTTTTTTAGCCTTGTGGATTTTGCCATGATTTTCACACATCTCATTCTCTAGTCAGTGGATCTGCAGCTGTGGTTCACTATAGATTTATCAGATATCTGTAACATATCTGATAACATATGTAGTCCAAGTGAAAGCTCACATTATGATGACAAAGATGAAGTCTTACTGATTCCCTGGGGAGCAGTTGAGCTCAGTTAAGTCTGTCCCCCATGGACCTTCAAGAAAGCTCAATGGTTCAGATGATGGATGTATAATACTTACTGTATGGTGGCTGAGACCTGCATATATAGAGCCACATGTACCCCGACAGAATTCACTCTTGCATCTGCTTAATCCATAAATTGTTACTGAGGGAGTATGGGGATGTTTTTTTCCTTATTAGTCAATGGTGTCTAGCTTGCTTACTTGACCTTAATCTTATCCCATATATCTACATCAACATTGACCTTCTCAGTGGACGTCTTTAAAAACAGACCGTCTGATAGCAGGAGAGACTGGACGAGGGCGTGTGTTTGCCTGTATGTGGGAAGTGCAATAAGTTCACTGTGGGGTTTTTGTTGCATGATTGGATTGTGGCTTTATGATCTGCATGGCTCCTGACCTTGCGTGTGTT